AGTGAGGAAGAGGGTTTTAGCATAGAGGTAAAATTGAGGTAGGGAAAATTGATGCTAAAGGAACGATGAAAATAGAATGGAGAACACTACTGCAAAAAAAAAAAAGAGAGAGAGAAAGCGAGAGAGAGAAAGAGAGAGAAAACAGTGAGAAAGAAAAGAGAGAAAAAAAATATATGCACACACTCACTCGTAGACTAACTTATACCATATACAAAAATAAACTCAAAATGGGTAAAGCACTTAAATGTAAGATGGGAAACCATAAAAATCTTAGAAGAATCCATAGGCAGCAAAATATCAGACATTGTCGTAGGGCAATGGAAACTAAGGAGAAAGTAATAAAATAAAAAAAAGTAATCAAAATAAAAAACTTCACAGCAAAAGAAACCATCAACAAAACAACAAGAAATCCCACTGCATGGGAGAATGCATTTGACAATGTTATATCCGATAAGGGCCTAATCTTCAAAATTTACAGAGGACTCTGCATCTTAACAAAAGGAAGATAAACAATCCAATCGAAAAATGGGCGAAGGATTTAAATAGACCTTTTTCTAAAGTGGACATACAGAAAGCCAAGAGACATAGGAAAACATACTCAAAGCCACTAATCATCCAAGAGATGCAAATCAAAACGACAATGAGATACCATCTCACACCTGTCAGAATGGCTTTCATCAACAAATCAATAAACGACAATTGCTGGCGAGGATGTGAAGAAAAAGGTACCCTCCTGCACTGCTGCTGGGAATTCAGACTGGTGCAGCCACAGTGGAAAACAGTGTGGAGTATCCTCAAAAAATTAAAAATGAAACTCCCATTTGACTCAGTAATCCCACTTCTATGAATATATCCCAAGAAATCAGAAACACCAATCAGAAAGGACATATGCACCACTGTGTTCATAGCAGCACGATTTACAATAGCCAAGATTTGGAAACAGCTTGTAAGCAGATGAATGGATTAAAAAACTGTGGTAAGTGCGCGCTTGGCCTCGCGCTGAGAAGGCGGGGAGGGGGACGCCCTCCGTCACCCCTACCCTTGACCGCCCCCAGCCAGGCCCCCACTTCTCTTCCCCAACCCATAGCTCGGCTTCCCAGCGCGCCGGCCCCAGAGTCTCCTTGGAACTCCCTTTCGGCCCAGGGCTGTATGCCGAGGGGTGCGCGACGCAGACTTGGGGAACCCCGAATTCAGGGTTATAACGCAACTTGCCGCCCCCTTTTCCTGGGGGTGAGTGACGGAAGTCAGCTAAACCCATTTTTACCAGGACTCCAGAAAAGAAAGAACTCTTACCATTTGCAACATCATGGATGAATATGGAGAGTATTTTTTTTTTTAAACAAAACTTTATTGGTGATAGTTTTCAAATATGTTTACAACAGCACACTGTTCAAGAGGAAGTCTCATCCTTCCCAGCACACAGATTGATTCACCCCTGCGCCCACCCGGGGCCCCATCCCAAGCCTGAGAGCTCCTCCTGGGATGGGGAGAAGTTCTGAGAGGGGCAGATTTGAGGTTGAATAGGGGCTCCCAACTTTTCTATTAAGAGAGAAAAAAAGCACAAATGGGCTAAGAGGTGATAGACAGCTGACAGCTAAGCAGAGGAGCGCCCAGGATGGGGGGGAGGGGGACAGGGCTGTTGGGTGAATAAAACAGAGCCCCTCCCTAGCAACCCTGGGCTTGAACGGGGGTCCACAGCGGGGGCAGGGGGGCTCTGCCTCCTTTTGCCAGGGTTGCCTTCCCAACTGAGCTGAGAAGAGGCCGGGCATTAAAATCTAGCTAAGAATAAAATTTAGGAGTTTGGGGGAGTGCTGTGGGGAGGAAAGACCCTGGGCTTGGGGCTCCCCCTCTACCTTTTGGGGGGACAACTCCTCTTTGTCAGGGAGAGGGGCAGCTGCTTTGTCTGGGTCCCAAAGCCCAAGGGTGAAGAAAGGTCTGTTGGGGCAGAAGGGGGTAGGGGCTTTAGGGGCTTCCTAAAGAGGCTGAGACCTTTCCAGGCTTGGCAGGGGAGGAGGGGATTAGCAGCTTGGGGGAGAGGGTGGAACCCCAGCCCTTTCCTTTACAAGTCAATCTGCTTCCCAGCCTTGTTAAAATGGATTTGGAGAGGGGGGGATGGGAGGCACTGGTGGAACTTAAATAAGTTTGTAAATTGTTTAAAAAATTTTAGCAAGTAGCCCACTGCACATGTCACTAAAATCTCTCCTTCCCAGGCAAGATTGCTTTGAAGGGAAGGCTGGCCATTCTTTTATTCTCCCTTAGCAAGTTTGCTGGTGGTCTGGTGAGGGAGGTGGGGAGGGAAGGGGGCTGGAGCTAAGTTTGGGCCCCTCTTTCCACACCCTGTCCCTGGATACACTGGTCTGACTAGAACTGAGATACTCGTTTAAAACAAGCAGAAGTGGGCTGGGGTGGAAGAAGGCAAAAGCATTAAGGAGGGCAGGAGGGTGAAGGGGATGAGGGAGAGCAGCTGGTATTCCTGTCTCTCTGAATATCTGGGCTTCCTGTTCCCCGACCCTGGAGGGTGGGGTGGGGGTGAAATTAGATGTAAGGAACTCTGGGGCCCTCTGGCGAAACACTGTCACATTAAAAAAAAAAAAAAAAAAAAAAAAAAAAAGAAAGAAAACCCTTGGGGGCACAGGCACACCCCTAAAACTCAGAAAACTCCTTGCCACACTTCTCATTGATGGAGACTCGGATCTCTTCCTCTTCATAGTCATCAAAATTACTCGTGTCCCCAGGGCCTTTAAACTTTGGTATGAAGGGAGCTTCCACCTGGAGAGGGGTCAAGAATCACCCAGACCTCAGCAGTCAACATAATCCTTGTTAAAACAATAAATACGAATGGCCTAACATTCATGATAACTTACTGAGACTCAGGCCAGAGCTGAGCATTAGGGTGTGAACTCACCTTAACAACCCAAGAATCTTATTACAGTGGACCCTCAGTTTCTCCAAAGTCTCCCATCTCGAACAATTCGAACAATTCGCTCCTCAACCTGACAACCCTTTCATGCTGATACCTGTATGATCAGTCACGCATCTCTCAGGTGACAAAGGAGAGAATGTGCGAATATGAGTCAGTTTACTACTGTTAAAATCTCAGGATATTGTGCTGTGAATATTCTCGTGGGTTTTTTTGCTTTTGTTGCTGCTCATGATGATTGTTAAATTTTCATTTTTTACTGTACACTTCCTTTTTGTTAAATTTTCATGTCATTTTTATTCTTAAAATGTTTATAGATTAAACAGTACAATAGACATGTACTGTATATAAGAAAAGTTAAAACAAGGAATCATTTGGGGGTCTGGATGGATTGATTCAATTTACATTATTTCTAATGTGAAAAAATTATTCAGTTTTCGAACAGCCTTCCAGAACGGACAAAGTTCGAGAAACGAGGTTCCACTGTATAGCCAACTCACCAATTGGGGAAATGACTTTCCAGACAGGGGTGTCTCTTGCTCAAGGTCACAGTGGCCAAGTGACCCTATAATCCCATTTTTAGACCTCCATTGCTCTAAACTGCCCCAGCTAGAATGACCTAGGGCCATGGCCTATTTTCAAATTCTTCCCTTTCCATCTCTCCATTGGCAGCCCCCCCTGGCTCTTGACCTGCCCCCAAAGCCCTCAGCATTTCCGGGGAGAGGAGGGGACACCCACCTTCCTCTGGTAGATGGCAATCCAGTCAGTCGTGGCAAACCACTTATGGTTCTTGATGTCATTGACCCCATTCTTGAGGTTCCCAAAGCGCTTGGTAAGGTCTACCTGAAGGAGGTTCCGCAGCAGATCCTTCAGGTCAGAGCTGAAGTGGGATGGGAACCGCACCTGGGGTAAAAGTGGGGGGGGGGGACACAGACAGGGTGGGAAACTGGCCTGGGGCTTGGGGACCCCAAAACACTGCCTCCACCATCCAACAGTCCTTTGGGGCACTTGAGTGTGTGTTGGAATCCCATTAAGACAGTTAATCAGGCCTGTTGGAGTTTCTGATTCAGAAGGTCTGGGTTGGGGCATGAGAGTCTGCATTTCTAGCTAGTTCCCTGGCCATGCTGATGGTGCTGGAGAGGGAACCACTTTGAGATCTGGTGTCCAAGTTAAATGTTATGATGGTCCCATGTTAGAGAAGAAGAAACGGAGGCTTGAAAGGGTTAAACAGCCTGCCCAAGGTCACACAGAAGAGTGGGACAGGTTGGCTCCATCTTGGGGCTGATAGACTCCAGACCTTGCAATTTTAGCCATTACTTCCTCAGGTGGCTCTGCTTACGTCTTGGGACTTCAGAAATATCCACATTTGAGAGAAACAATTGCTTTTCTATTTCTTTCTCTGCATAGCTAAGGCTCTTCTATTCTTTAAGGCTCAGTTCAAATCTTTGAGAAACTTTCCCTAAATGCTCAGAACCCACGGCCTCGTATGCAACTATTCATTGGATTTATAGCTACAAGAACAGATTTCCAGCACTGCTCTCCCTCTTACAGGCTGTGACCTTGGCCATGGCCTTTAACCTCTCTGGGCCTGTGCCTGCCTTTCCGGCACGGGGCAGATATCCCAGGGTTGCATGAGGGAGATAATACTGCTGAGGGTGCGTGGGAACTGTGAAATGCTACAAAAAAGGGAGTTATGCTCTTCTCCTCTTCCCCCTTGGCACATTCTATGGCTTCTTCTTTGTTTTCCACTTTGGGTCATTCTCTTGGCACTTTCCATTGTGCCTGGTGGCAGACACCTCATCTTTCCCTATTCTGGGACCCCACTTTGCAGCTGGTGATTTCTCTCAACCTCCCTGAGAAGCAGCTGGCTGGTTTCTCCGTTCTCAGGTGGGTAAGATGAGGCTCAGAGGAGGAAAGCCACTTGCCTGAGGTTTCAAAGCCAAGAGGTGGAAGAACTGGGACCCGGAGACGAGTCAACCCACCCGGGCTGAGCTGGGAGTTGCTTCCACCAATTCCTGGTCTGGGTGGAGGGATGGTTGGTCCTCCCAGAAAGGTGAGTGAGCTAAAGACAAAAGTGGGGTTCCCAGCCTCTCTCGAGCCCTTGGATCTCGGACCAGACATATCCCCTCCTCTCCATGCCTCAGCTTCCTCAGTCCCTCGGAGTGCTGGGTAGGATGGAGTGGGTGCACTGGGGCAGTGGGTGCTTAATGCACTCGGTAGATGTTAACTCTAACAGTCCCCTTACCTGCACCCTCTGAGTTAGGAATTCTGTATTTGAGAAGGGAGGCATGGGCCATACACCCTGAATGACTGCCCAGTGGGGTCTGGGAACCAAATACATTAGCTTTCCTGCTGTGAAACTTGTGAAAAATCCCAGAAGGGGGATAATTAGGAACAAGCAGAGCCTCACATAGGGCAGGGTGGGGGTGCGGATGAGGCTTGGGGTTTTAGAAGCCCTTGGGAGGTTGGCACTGTGGGTCCAGGAGTAGCCAGTGAGGTTGTGTGGGGTGTTGACCTCAGTTAGCATGGCTGATACACCCAATGTCACTGCCTGGCCTGACTTAATGAACTTCTAGATTGTTCTTACAATGATGGTGGGCGGAGGGGGAGAGAAGGGTTTGTCCTAGCAGAATCCCTGTGTCCGGGCCTCACCTTCCCAGAAACAATCTTCTCGTAGATCTGAATGGGCTGGTCAGCGAAGAAGGGGGGGTAGCCAGCAGCCATCTCGTAGATGAGAACCCCCAGGGCCCACCAGTCCACAGCCTTGTTGTAGCCCTGGGGTGGAAAGGGGGTGCAGGATGAGGGAAGAAGGGTGAAGAAAGGGCACAGGCGGAGTGGGCCTCAGGGACAGTGGGAGGGGTGGGGAGGAGCCTACTTTGCTCAGGATGATCTCAGGGGCCAGGTACTCGGGGGTCCCGCACAAGGTCCAGGTGCGGCCTTTCACACGCTTGGCGAAACCAAAGTCTGTCACCTGTGGGCACAAGAGTGGGGTTGGTCGAGAGCGAGGGAGAGAGGGTTCAGGCCATGGACACCTGGGGCTGTCCCTTGCCTGGCCCAGCAGGTACCTGAATGTAGCCCTGCTGGTCGATGAGAAGGTTCTCTGGCTTCAGGTCCCGGTAGATGAGATCGAGCGAGTGCAGATACTCGAAGGTCAGGACGATCTGGGCGGCGTAGAAGCGGGCATGGGGCTCGCTGGCAGGGACAAGTGGAGAGGGGATGAGTGAGTGTGGTGGCCACACTCACCCAGCAGGACTCACCCGCCCCCAAATGGTCTATCGGGTGGGCCTACAGCCCAGCTACCCAAAATGTGTAAGAGGAGAAGCCTTGTTCATAAAGAGCTCCAAGAAGGAACGAGCCCAGCTGTCCATCAACAGAGCCATGGTGTCACAGACTGTGACAGATTCAATAAAATGCTACCCAACACCACCATCAGGACACACGGACATGCTCAAAACCGTGGCTAGATCTCAAAACAATGATGTGAAGAGAAGAAAAGGACAAAAGAATATGAACTGTGTGAGGCCATTTATATCAAGTCCAAACCCAGACCAAACAAATTCTATGGTGTTTAATGCCAGAAGGGACAATTGCCTTTTTCAGGGTGGTGATCTGCCAAGAAAGGCATTAGCGCAGTGGTTCTCAACCTTCTGGCCCTTTAAATACAGTTCCTCATGTTGTGACCCAACCATAAAATTATTTTCGTTGCTACTTCATAACTGTAATGTTGCTACTGTTATGAATCGTAATGTAAATATCTGATATGCAGGATGGTCTTAGGCGACCCCTGTGAAAGGGTCGTTTGACCGCCAAAGGGGTCTCGACCCACAGGTAGAGAACCGCTGCATTAGAGGGATTTTTTCTGGGGTGATGAAATACTCAATAGGGTGTTTTGGGTTGTGGTTAAACAAATGTATGCTACTGTCAAAACTCATGGAACAGAACAGTGACCTGTGCATTTTATTGTATGTAAAGTGAACAGCTATCTGACTAAACAAAATAAAACAATAGCATACATTTAAAACCTGCATAAAATCACCCCACTGCTCAGTGATTGAACATCAACCCATGAACCACGGGGTTCCCGGTTCGATTCCTGGTCAGGGCACATGCCTGGGTTGCGGGCTCCATCCCAGGTGGGGGGCATGCAAGAGGCAGCCGACAGATGTTTCTGTCTCATTGATGTTCCTATCTCTCTAAAGTCAATAAAGACACATAAAAAAAACCCCTGCATAAAATCGCCAACTTAAATGGTGAGACCTGTTACTATGTTTGTTTTGTTTCACGGTGGTTGGGTGGTTGAGACATTGCAGGTTCCTCAGCTCAGGGGGAAGGAGAACCCACAGGGACCTGGAGAGGCTACCTCCGAGTCCCCAGATGGCTTGGTATGTGACATCGCCTGTGGACACCCCCAGGCCTGGTGGGCTGGGGCAGTCCGCTCACCTGAACCTGCCAATCCGCCGCAGATGTGAGAACATTTCCCCGCCGGGCACATACTCCATGACCATGTATAAATTTGAGTTATCCTGTGGAGAGCAGCAGCTGGTCAGGGCCCTGCCCCCCAAGCCCTGGGCCCCACCCGAAGGTCCGATGCCCTTGACCAGCAGGAGTTTGGAAACCGGTGACAACACCAATCTAGGCTCCAATATGAGGCACATGCCAAGGACCAGACACTGTACTCACTGAGCTCCCTATCTCACTTCCCTCTGCGCATGAGGACAAAGGGACAACTATTATCCTGCTTGTGGGGGTGGGTGGTGAAAGGGAGGGCTGGCTACAGGTGCCTGGGCTGGAGAGGGGACTTCACAGTCTGTGACTGTCCTGAGCAAGGCTCTCGGGCCACCATTTTATCACAAAATGGAACCAGGAGAGGCTATAGAATTTGTGCCCCACCCCCTGCCAAAAAGCGTCTCCTTACTAAAACAATGATTATGAATCTCAAGACGGCAGCAGTAGAGCATGACACCAAGTACAGGCCCTTGTGACTGCCTGGGTGGCAGGCCCCAAGTGGACTTTCCCAACTCTCAAAGTCCAGCTCAGGATGGCCCCCAAAATAGCTCACATAGGGTGCTCATGATGTGTCATGGAAACCTTTTGATCCCCAGTTTACAGATGAGGAAACTGAGACTCAAGTGAAGTCCTTCGCCAGGGTCACATGGGCAGGGGGCGCTGAGCTGGGATTTGAACCCAGGCCACATGTCAGGTTTTTGTAAACAGAGCGGTGATTTTGAGGGATGTCATCCAGGTTGACTGACATGACCACACAAGGTTATCAAGTAGACAGACCTAGGAGTTGAACGTGGGTGGTAAACAGAGCGGTGATTTTGAGGGATGTCATCCAGGTGTTATCAGAATCCCAGGCTGATCCTCCTTTCCTCATCAGTGGTGGTGGTGGGGGGGGGCTCACCTTCCAGGGGAGCCACTGATTGCCCTCAGCCCCCCAGCCTGGTTTCCCTCTCTGCCCCCTCTATTCCCCGATGGCTGGGACCCACCTTGAAGGAAAACTCAAGTTTGACAAGGAACGGAAAGTTGACAGCCTGCAGGATGCGCTTCTCATTCAGGGTGTGCTCGATCTGTTTCAGCTTCACCACCTAGGAGCAGGAGGGGTGTGGAGAGGAGGAGGTATGAGAGGGCCCTCGTCCCCCAGGCTGGTTTCTGTGAGGGTTTGTGGCCTGTGGAGCCAGGTGGGGTGCTGAGGACACAATAAGAAGGCTGAGGCTGCCTGTCCCCACGTGGCAAGAACACGAGTCACCAGGCTTTTCAGTGCAGAGGGATCTGAGCTGTGATGGGGGAAGCTCGGGGCTTGCGGATGCCCAGATGAGGCGCGAGGTAAAGTCTGGGGCAGGGGTAGTCAGAGAAGGCTTCTTGGAGGAAGGGGCAGTAGCGGAAAGACAAGCAAGAGCAGTGCCAAAGGAGTAGGGGGTTTACAAAAAACTCTGCATCTAGAGCACTCACACACAGTACATACCCAAACCCCAAGCTAATTTCTCCTCAGCCCTCAGCTATCTGCAGCAGGCCCTTCGTGCACAGTGACTGAAGCCCTGAGGGGTATGTACTGTGAACACACAAGCTTGGAAGCCCAGAGAGGGGCAATGACTTGCCTAAGGCTGTGGTTGGCAAACTGCGGCTCGGAGCCACATGCGGCTCTTTGGCCCCTTGAGTGTGGCTCTTCCTAAGCCTTAGAAGTACCCTAATTAAGTTAATAACAATGTACCTACCTATATAGTTTAAGTTTAAAAAATTTGGCTCTCAAAAGAAATTTCAATCGTTGTACTGTTGATATTTGGCTCTGTTGACTAATGAGTTTGCCAACCACTGGCCTAAGGTCACAGGCCAGCTGGTGTGTCACACACAGGCAGCCTGGCTGTTCAGCCAGCTCTGAACCCCTGTCTGGGGCCTTTTTTGCTTTGCTCACAGCTGTATCCTTTGTCTATACCTGCACTGCCCAATGCCATCCACACTAGCCATATATGGCTGTTGAGAGCTTTAATGCGGCCGGGAGACTGGGGAACTGAGTTTAAAATGATGAATATCTAAAGTGAAAATTTAAAAACTGACACTTGACACAGTTACTAGACATCTTTTAAGTCTGTCTGGAACAACTTGGGCTATGCCAATCTTGCCTTTTCAACTTCTCTACTTTTTCTTCTCTTTCCTTTAAAAATTTAACATCAGAACAGAGATATGTTGTAAAGTGTAAAATGCACACTGGATTTCAAAGACTTGGTATGAAAAAAAAAAGTAAGATGCCTCATTAATGATATTTTACATTGGTTACATACATTGAAATTATAATGTAAATATACTGATTTAATTACAACATATTATTAAAATGCATTCCACCTGTTTCTTTTATTTAATGGGGCTTCTAGAAAACTTAAAATCATACGTGGCTTATATGACACTTCTGCGCAGCAGTGCTTTAGAGTAGTGACTGGCATAAGTAGGGTGTCAAAAATATTCACAGAAAACAGGCCTGTGTAAATGCCACCTCCTCCAGGAAGCCCTCCGGCCACCTGGAATACAGGTTAGGTGTCTGACACTGTTTCCAGCGCCTGATTTCCCTCGGTATTCGGCCTGAAGGGGAACTTCGTGGTGCCCTTCTGGCCCTCAGGTCTGGCACATGATGGGGGCTCGAGAAGCAATTGGTGAGTGGATGGATGGGAAGAGCACTCCAGGCAGCAGGTGGGATCTGGCCGCAGGGCAGAGCTGAGCTCACCTTTTGTTTGTCCAGGATCTTCATGGCGAAGTGGTTCCCAGTCTCCTTGTGTTTCACCAGCATCACCCGCCCGAAGGAGCCTGTGCCGAGGGTCTTGATTCGATCAAAGTTATCCAAATTGGCTGTATTCTGTGGATGGAGAGGTTGAGAGAGTCAGGGACCCTCTTCCCTGTGGCCTGCTGGGCCAACGTCTGGGGCATCCTATCTGCCACCAGCAGAGGGGGCCCTGGGGAGCAGGGAGAGTGATGGGGTGAGAACAGGGGGCAGAAAAGCAAGATGGCGGAGGGCACATTCCTTGAGGCGAGTGGCAGAGGCCAGATCTGGCCCTGGCCTGGGGCCCAGGAGCTGCTGGCAGCTGTGTGGGGGGCAGGGGCCACCAGCTGTAGGGGGTGGTAGGATGGGGGAGCCTGGCAGTGGGCAATCAGGTGCCTCTGTCTAGGAGCCTCCAAGGGTGTCCAGGCATCCTCCACAGGGTTCTAAATCCCAGCCATGACGCAGGGGTTACGCTGGAAGACGGAGGCCATTAGCTCACCCCTTCAAGGGTTCTGCACACAGGGCGGGTGGCGGGGGGCGGGCTTACCTGATCAGGATTTTCCCATTTTTTAAGAAAATCTTCTTTGGCTTTGGCTAAGAACTCTTTCACTGGAAGGAAGAGAAGGGAGAGTTAGCTAGACACCCCCATCTCACTGGGGCAGGCCCAGGGTGTTCCTGGGGAGATGCTCATTTGTGGAAAGTGGGGTGCAGCTGTTTCAACCAGAGTCTGATCTTTTTTCCCACTAGGGCCTTTGGGTGCCCTGGCTGAGACTGAGGGCAGCTTGGGAGGGGCGTGATCTGGGCTAGGGCCTGGGTCCCCTTTACTACAGGGAGGTGGGATCCAGCCTCAGCTCTTACAAAATGGGGTACAGAGCAACTCGGGGGTCACTCTCAGGGGGACAGAGGGCAGTACCCAGGCCAGCCCACCCCCACTTCATGTCCCAGTTCTGACCGGCATTCCACGGCCAGGGAGGGCCAGGGAGGACGCCAGCCGAGGTATTTATAGCCTCAGGATTTGGCTGTTCCTCAGGCCCCTTCTCTGGGGAGGCCGGTCGGGGGGGTGGAAGCCTCTGGGGCTCGGGTAGCAAGCGCCCTTGGGGGGCTCAGCTGTTGCCCTGTTCCTGCCTTTGCCAATTCAGGGGCCCTGGCTCCAGAGCTGGTTCAAGGGAGGCCTCGCTCTATGCCTGCTCCCCAGAGGCCCCTCAGTACCCCAAGAATATCACCATTCAGCTAATACTGAAGACTTCCCAGCGGGCTGACCCTGGGCCTGCTGTTTTGTCTCCACTATCAAATTTGGTTAACTCACCAAGTTTCCTTGTATTCTTCTCCCCATTTAACACTAGGAAACTGAGGCTTCAACAGAGTCATACTTGCCAGCACCCTGCAAATCATTAAGGGCCAGGACTCTGGAATTGAGATTAAGTTCAGACCCCAGCCTGGTTCTGCTAAACTGTGTGACCTTAGGCAACTGACCTTACCTCTCTGGGCCTCAGTTTTCCTCATCTGTAAAATGGGGAGAATAATAGTAATGACCTGGCAAAGTAGTTTTGAGGACTGAATGAGTTAATCGAGGGCAGTGGTCGGCAAACTGCGGCTCGCGAGCCACATGCGGCTCTTTGGCCCCTTGAGCGTGGCTCTTCCACAAAATACCACGTGTGGGCGCACACGTACAGTGCGACTGAAACTTTGTGGCCCATGCGCAGAAGTCGGTTTTCGGCCTGGGCGAGTCTATTTTGAAGAAGTACTGTTGATATTTGGCTCTGTTGACTAATGAGTTTGCCGACCACTGATCTAGGGAAATGGAGTTGGACAGTGACCTGTATGAGGGTCATTCCATATAACTGTTGATTATTAATTTTGCTTTCAAGTATTTTTTATAATTGAGGTATAAAATATAGGGGATGCATTGAGCGCTCAAATCTTAAATGTGTGGCCTGACAGATGTGTACATTACGGACCTAGAGACAACCCCTGGGGTCAAGCATGCCTTGTGCCAGCCCTGAGCTAAATGCTTTCTATGCTTAAGTCCTACCCCGATGGCTCAGAGTTGCTATTACCTCATTGTACAGAAGAAAAGACTGACCAGGCCTTAGGTGGCCTGCCAGACCCCACTGCTCACGAAATTAACTGCTTTCCTCCGGAAAGGTTGTAGTGAACTAGCGTGGCCCACCGACAGACCTGTCCTCAACCCTCTGATGTTCCCGGACAGGTGCCACCCTGAGGGGTCCTGCACACTTGGACTCTGGCCTTGCCTGTCATTTGTGTGTCCCACCCATGTGCACCAGGAGTCCCACACAGCCTCTGGGTAGCCACCACCCCCACGATCCCCAAGGCTCTCCCTCAGCATTCGGATGAAAGAACCTCCCATGGGGCTACAAGAGCAGCAGATGGAGAAGAGATCACTGGCCAGGAAAGCCTTACAAAGAGTGACCGGGCAGAGTGAGGGAAGTCAAGGCATGGTCAGGAGTCCTAGGCTGGCGCCTGGCTGGGCCACCAACTGACTGAGAGACCTCTCTGAACCTGGGGCCAGCACCACACCCAATGCTCACACTAGCAGAATCTTTCCTGACACACACTACCTTCCTTGGACACCTCCAATGTATACGCTAACTTCTGAACGAAGGTGGGGGAGATGGTACCCTTTTGTAATTCTACCTTCACCCGCCCAGGAAGGTAGGGAGAAGTGGGCTTGTGAGGAGTCCAGAATGCCTGGTCCCACTTCTTTCGCTCTCAGCCATCCCTGAAACTGCCATGTCCTGCTTTTCTGACGTGGGTACCCCACTGAGAGGCTCCACAGGGCGCCTTGGTCCTAGCGTAGCCCTTCTCTGTCCCCTCTGGTGCCACTGGCTCGCAGATTTGGGGATGGGGCACAAGGGAGGGGCAGAGCCAGGAGGAACAGGCAGATACAGAGGAATAATGATGGGGTAACCCCAGCCGGGAGCCCCTATACTCACCTCTGCTTCCTGCCTCCTCCAGCAGAGGGTACAATGGGGGTGGAGTGGGATGGGGTGATCTGGGGCCCGTCTGCCCCTGACCATGGAGACTCAGGGTGCTGGCTGTGGCGTAGGTGCCCAGAGGGTGCGGTGCAGGTAGCTCAGGAAACGAATAGTCAGGTGGGCCCAGAGGAATAGCTGCAGCCATAGCTGGAAGGTGGTCTCTGAGTCCCCACCCTGGCCATTGCCTGAACCCAGATTCATCCTAGGCTACCCTGGGAACCAGGGAAACCAGGAATATGCAGAGCTTCTGAGCTGGTTTCCTCGGGAGGGCCTTGGGGAACCCTGAAGGAGGAGCTGGTTGCTAGGGAAGCATTTAAAGGTGCCTGCTCCTGGCTAAGGTTTGCAAAGGCCCTCCTTGGCAGGAGGCAGTGGGAAGAGTCTCCCTAGGATGTCCCTCCTGGCTGGCCTCCCTGCCCCGGGGGTGCTAACGCTAACTTATTCCAGGGACTTCACTGCTCCCAGGATGCCAGACCCTGCCTTCCCCAGGTGGGTGGACTACCCAGAGGATGGTACCTGATGTGCCCAGGGCAGTGCTCACTGGGCAGAGGAGAAGGGGTTAAGAGCTTAGGCCCAGGCAGCAGCCAGGGACTCCTTGGGGGCTAGAGAGGCCCCAGGGCTCCATTAATTAGCAGAGAGCTGGGTTGGGTGTGTGTGTGTGTGGGTGGGGATGGTGTAAGAGCCACCCTATCACCTCTCCAATCCTGTAGCCCCAAGAGAAATGGGTACATCAGGCTTTCTCTTGTTCCTATGCAGGGCGGAGAGTGGAACGGCATCCTGGGATGTCCTTGGCCTCTGTCAAACCTTGCCCTGTGCTTGGCTCTGCTCTAGGCCATGAAAAGTCCAAACCGGAAACAAAGGCTAAACCCAGCGGTGGGGGAGGGGGAGGCTGCCTTGACCATCTTCCTCCTTTCCAGATCTCAAAAGAAGTGGATGGTGAGTGGCAGCTTCTCCCAGTGTGCCTAGCACCCGTGGCCCTTCAGACAACTGGAAGTGGCAGAGAAGGGAAACCCAGCCAGCTGCTGGCTTGTGAAACATGCCGCCCTGCCCATGTCTTCCACGGGAGTAGGGGGGGTGGAGGGGTAGGGTGCGGGTTCCAGCCTCCATCATGGTCTGGATTCGATCTGGGCTCATAAAGAGAACCCCACACACCCTTCCAAAATCCAGGACTACCGCAGGAAGCAGGAGCCCAGTCTCAGACTTCCCAGACAAATCTCAGTACTCTCTGTCCACCAAAACCTGGTTGTCCCAGGAATTCTGGGGCAGGGATGCCAAGTCAGGGCTGGGACCCCCGACTCTGGGCTGGCTGATTCCTCCAGGCTAGCTTGGATCCCCTGCTCTGAGCTGGAACATCCCTCAGTCTGAGCTGGACCCCAACACTGACTACCTCACCCCCATTCTGAAATGGACCTCTATTCTGGATTGGGTGGTCCCCTAGTCTGAGCTGGACCCCAACACTGGGCAGGACCACTGCAGAGTCTGATGGCTCCCCATTCTGTACTGGGCCATCTGGCCTGGACTCCATCTTAACATCCCCCCATTCTGACCTGGACTCCATCACTGAGCTGGACCAACCGCCATTCTGAGCTGAAGCCCAATACTGGGCGAGTCTATCCCATTGCTCTGCTCTGAGCTGGACCCCTGCTCTGGGTGGACCACACTCCCTTGTCTAACAGGGCTACCAATCCCCCCAGCTCTTCTCCAGGCCCCCAGCCCAGGATTGTAAGGGAGGGGTTCCCAGGGCCAACCAGACGTCCACAGCCCTCTCCTCTCTGCCTGCCCCCCAAACCCTACTGCAGCCCGTCTCTGACTCCAGGGGCAGAGTGCTCGGAGAGTTGCTATAGCAACAGGGTTTAGTCTCACCATCGTTGAAGTTGGAAGCCATCACTCAGTCTTCCTCTCAAGGCACCAGAACTATGGTGGCTGAGAAGGCTCAAGAGACCTGCTGCACCAGCTTGGCTGCCCATCCCCAGATACCTGCCTATAGGGGGAGCCAGGGAGTGGTGTGTGTGTGTTAGGGGGGGGGGCAGGAGGAGGAGCCAAACCTGGGCCAGTAGGGGCAGGGGAGGGGCAGACAGGACCCTCAAGTTTCTGTCGGCCTGACTGGGTTAAGGCAAAAAGCTACCTTGGAAAGACCTTCTTAGGCACCCATACAACTGCCAATACACAGGTGTTTGACCCTCTTGCACTTCCGTAGGATGTTAGAAGGCAGCAATTCTTCCCATTCAGGGACTTCTTAGGGGCACTTTTCACGCCCAGAGCCTGGACCTGCTTGTCCCCAGGGCCTAGAATGTGTGTGTATGGGCTCCCTCTCACCAGCCCTACCCCTTCCCCCATGGGCCGGCTCCCAGGGGTGCTTTTGGCCAGTGCCAGCCAAGGCCTGAGCCCCACTTGGCTGCCTATCCTGGGAGCCTCTTGGGGCCATTGCTCTCTCTCAATTTCTCCAGCTTGCTCAGAGCCGGGTGCTAGGTTTTTTCTCTGCCCTTTCACCATCTTGTCCAGGCCCCTAACAATGGCTTTGGCATCTTTGGGTACAGATTGCCCCTACCCCACTTCACCCAACTCCAGGTAGATCCCCCGCTCTCTTGAGAGCAGGCTGACATTATCATGCCCTGGCACCAGATGGTAGCACAGGGGG